AACTTCCTAGAGCCTGTGATAAGCATTCTCCAGTGAGTCACTCACTGTCTTGTACTGTCAATGACCTTTCTGCATTTGCCTCCATTCTTCAGACAGATTGTAATTTCTTTTTTTTTTTTTTTGATGGACACGATATCTTTATTTTTATGTGGTGCTAAGGATCGAACTCAGTGCCTCACACGTGCAAAGCAGGCGCTATACCACTGAGCTACAGTTTCCAGCCCTGTCATTTCTTTTTAAGAAGGGAGCAAGTGTTTTATTTCCATTTGAATCCCTTATGGCACCTGGCACAGAGTAGCAGATACACAGAGTATTGTCCTCCTTAGAGTGATTGCCATATGACATCTCGGTTTCTCTCCCCATCCTTTTCTGTTTAGTGGGTGATTATTGAACAGGGATGCTTCACTTACTCAATGGTGGTCGTTCCCCTTTACGATACCCTTGGAGCTGAAGCCATCACGTACATAGTCAACAAAGGTAAGTCTGTGACCTTTGGCTGGATACTGGCCTAGTTACTGGTTAAATTCAGTGTCTCTGCAATTGCACATCTGATCTGACATATGTACTTTTGTACATATGTATATGTACTTTTCCATTCAAAGGATGCAGCACTTACAGTATCCTTGTGTCCGATACCATGCAGTCGAGCTTTTGGTATCCTAGAGCTTATTCTTGACCATCTCTCTTTGTTTACAGCTGAGCTCTCTCTGATTTTTGCTGACAAGCCAGACAAGGCCAATCTCTTACTGGATGGTGTAGAAAATAAGTTGACACCAGGCCTTAAAATCATAGTTCTCATGGACACCTTTGGCAGTGATTTGGTGGAACGGGGCAAGAAGTGTGGCGTGGAAGTCATCAGCATGAAGGCAATGGAGGTGAGTCCCTCGCCCACCCCACTTTTCTGAAGGGTTAGGCATGACATGCAGTGCCACCATGCAGTCCCCATGCTGGCCAGTTGTCTTTGCAGCCTGGTAAAGACATAAGGCAGAAATTCCTTCTTTTTGGTACCTGGGATTGAATCTGGGGGTGCTTAACCCCTAAGCCACATCCCTAGCCCTTTTTAATTTTTCTTTTTTTTTTTTTTTTTTTTTAATTTAGAGACAATGCCTCTCCAGGTTGCTTAGGGCCTCAGTAAGTTGCTGACATTGGCTTTGAACTTGAATCCTCCTGCCTCAGCCTCCCAAGCTGCTGGAAGTTCAGGCATACACCACTGTGCCCAGCTAGAAACTCCCATCTTATCACTGAAAAGAAGGGTTCTGTGGCATGCCCATGTTAGTAGTACATCACATCTCACAGGAGTTCTCACTCGAGAGTGAGTTGCAATGCCCGTATTTATTCCAGAGCACTGGCAGGCCATGCCAGTCAATGCCAGAGCTATGAATTTCAGCTCAAGACAGTTGTGGAAGTTTTAAGTTTGTCTTCTTTAGCTTCAGGGTCTTTTCCTTACTGATTTGTCTCTGAAAKTGAGCCAGATACAGAAATCTGCCTCATGGTTCTTTTCCCCAGGTTGACTGTATTATAGAGTCCTGGTGAATTTCCAGCATAGATGTTTGATTGGGCTTGTTTTCATACTCAGGATCCACAGTAAGCCCAACTTTATAAGTAACCATTCTAGGAGAGTGAGTGTGGTCCATGTGAACCGATCCCTCCAAYTGGACTTGGATTAGAGTTCAAGGGAGCTGGCAAGAGAATGTCTCTTTTCACACATCATAGGAAATAGTAGGCTAAAGAGAGGAAGTCCTGCTCTTTCTCTGAAGACATTGTAAGTATTTTTATGAAACTATTATAAATAGGGTTTTAAATTTTTATTTATAGTTCTCTCCCTTCTACAAAGACTTTGGGGCTACAAAGAAGGACCTAGAGAGCCTTTCCTGAGGAATCTTGCAGTCGTAGGGAAAGTCATTGTCCTAACAGAACCTTCCACCTCATGTGTACACACACACACAAACACACAAACTAAAACGCTGAGCAACTTGCAACATGACTCCATATGCATTCATGGCTGTGCTTTGTGGTTTAATTGGTGTTTTAGCTAACTTTTTACCTAGCTTCTCCCCACTTTTCTTTTTTTTTTTTTTTTACTTATAACCCCCCCATCTTCCCTTCTATCTTCTCCCCCAAGACACACACACACACACAGAGAGAGAAGTAGTTTTGTCTTTGTGATTGCTACATGATAAAAATTAATTTTAAAAGATATTACATCATAATATAAAGTTCATACTAAATCTTAGCTTATAAAAAACATTGTTTGACATTTACCTGCCTGATACGATTTGTGCATTTAAAACACATTTTTAAGCAAAAGATGACGGTTTGAAAACATGAATTTAAAATTAGGATTGTGGTTGATCATGGGATCAAATAAAAGTCTATTTTTATCAGGCCAAACATGGAAACATTGGCATTTGGAAGGTGGAAGGTTTGCATTTTTTTTAGTATTTTAATGACAAAAATATAGTTGAAAGAAGTGTACAGGAGAGAGCCAGCCATAGTCCCATCGACAAGAGTTTATTTATTAAAATTTCAACAAATTTGCTATATCACATATAATTCTATCAACCCTTTGCTGTACACATTCATCGATACATTTTTTTATGCATTTTCAGTAGGTTACCRATTTCATTTCCCCTAAATACTTAAAGAGCGTTTATTATTAATTAGAACTCAGGTTTATTTATGGCTTGTTTTTAACTTCAAAATGGCAACATTTTTATTTCTTTTTGTTTTTGGACATAATGCCTTAATTTTATTCATTTATTTTTTTTATGTGTTGCTGAGGATCGAACCCAGTGCCTCAWACATGCTAGGCAAGTGCTCTGCCACTGAGCCACAACCCCAGCCCTTGCTATATTTCTTTTAAATGATGACAAGGCAGAATTAAGGCTATGAAATGTCCATGGGAAATGATGCTCTAATTTATCCAATATTTATCCCTCAAAAATAAAAAGCCAAGTTGCTTTTTAACTATTGCTTTATTTCACTTGATGTCAATTTTTAAAGAATTGAAGATCTYCAGAAGTTATGTAAGAATTTTGGATAGATGAGTAGAAATTTAGAGCTCATAAAGATTTATTTTGAAGAAAGATTTACAGAATTATCATTGCTTGAACTCCTACCTTACTTCTAATTGGATATCAACATATCTGTTTTTAATCGTCTTTCATGTATATAATTTAAAATGTGATTAAGATTTAAAATCCTGTGCCTGGTGAAGCCCGCTGAGCCTGAGCACACCCGTCTAATTTCCATTTTATGATAGACTGCTTGCTCCATGTGCTCACTSAAGCTGTTCAGTTTTAATAGGAAAAGATTATAAATAGTTCATTTTGGAAATTAATGGATATGAAAGTGCCTTAATGTAGCAGACTGAGCCACATCAGTGATAGTCACTGGAAGCCTGCATTGGCAACTGCTGCATTCCTTTCTGAGGAACCTTTCTGTAGGGACCTTTGTGTCATTTGAGGAAGTGGTTTCTGTTGTGGTCTGATTTATAATGGGAGGCTCCTAAGTCCTCTCCCCTCTCTGTGAGTGAAGTGCAGGTATTTGGACCTTACTAAAAAGGCTAGCAGCTAAATCTGACAGAGGTTGGTTTCTCTCCCCGGCTGAAGATGTCAGTTCCACAGAGCCAGGTGGTCAGGTGGCGCTGCACTCTGAATCACGGAGGGTGCAGAAGATCTGCCGTTCTTTGGTTATTGCCGGGAGCAGGCCTTCTTAAAGGCTGTAATAAGAAATATGAGTGAGCACCGAAATACCATTTAAAAAAGACTCTGATTGCTGTCTCTTGAATAAATTCTAAAATCTTTCAAAGGCCTGTCCTATTACCTCTTARGTAGTTTGTTGTTGTTGTTGTTYATTTTTATGTGGTGCCAGGGATTGAACCCAGTGCCTGACACATGCTAGTCAAGCGCTCTACCACTGAGCCACAACCCTGGTCCCCTCTTAGGTAGTTTTATAGAAGAAAGGAGATAACTAGAAAATGGATTCTTAGAATCGTAAATATTTTGGTTCTAATTAATTAAAAGTACTATAGTTTATTTAACGCAAAAATTATGATGTCTTTGAACTAGCTGGGAGTGCACTGCACTTCTCAGGAAAGGCAGCTTCAAATGACTTCATGTGACCTTACTCTTTATAGTTGGACAACAACGATTCCACTTAAGACTTTTTTTTTCTTTTCTCTTGTAATCAAGGACCTCGGAAGAGCCAACAAAAGGAAACCCAAGGTATGTACACCGTTTTAGACCAAGTCACAACCCTCTCTGAAGTTTATAATATCTAGTCATATGGAGATTATTAGAAAGTTTGGGTGATAATTTATGTCTGATTGTTTTCCATTTTGATTTATACCATTTTTTTTTAAATCTTCAGCCTCCAGCACCTGAAGATCTTGCAGTAATTTGTTTCACAAGTGGAACTACAGGTAAATTTCAAGATGGAGTTGCTCCTGTGTGGTATCTAAAAGTCTGTACTCTCAACCCCCCTTTTTGAATGACTTATTAGCTAATTACAGGTGGACTGAAAGAAAGCAAGAGRGACAGGTGGTTCAAGTGCTGTCTTCTTGTTGCTCTCTTTGATGCTCTTGGGGCCGTGTGTTCACACAGACATGTATTGAAGGTGATGTTAGACCTTCATCTTGGGTCACCCATCTTGCTAGGGCAAACTATTGGTTGGTGTCTCCTGGAAATAAAATTCTTGATTTTTCTTCTCTTACCGATACACATCTGCTAAAATTTGTCTATATGAATGAGGATTGTTTAAAGATGACTTTAAGATAGTACGTTTCATTGAAAGGATTACGGGTTACTCAAGAATTGAATGTTACTCAACATTTGGCTCTCATGGGTGGATCTAACAGGAGAGGAATTTGAAACCTAAATTATACAGGGCTTCTACCATTCTTTGATGAAGTGCCTGTCCTTTGACTTTGTTCTGTTTTCTGTGTGCTCCGCAGGCAACCCCAAAGGAGCAATGATCACTCACCAGAATGTCATGTGCGACTGTTCGGCTTTTGTGAAAGTGACAGAGGTAAAATTTTGGAGGGTGTCATCTCCCTTCACGTTTATTCATTGGCATTAGGCCTTGGGAGTGGAAATGTGAAGGTGGCCACYCCCTCCCCAGGCTGGGTCCACCATGTATGTAGAACACTCTCTGAAACATGGGCAAGGTCTGAACTTTAATAGGAACAAGGCCACCTTCTCTCAGATGGTCTTCCTTGTGGACCTACCCAGCTCTCACTTGGGAGCATGAAGGTGAATTGACAAATGGAATTACTGCAGCGTTTACCTAGGTAAAACTATTGGATATTGTCCCGTAAATATTTCTTGGAAATGACAAAGGAGAAAGGGTCTCTTTCTGCTTTGATCCACTGTTTCACTGTTGAGAAAATAATTTCTTTAGATTAGGAATGAAATCTTAAAGACTGCTGAAGGGTTTTGAAATCTTATTATTTATTGTAAGTCAACTTGATTCCCRTTGTAGGAGAAAGACCAAAGCCTCAAACTTCAATTAATTGTCTATAATCTTCAAGTTTGTGATCCACAGGTCTTAGTTCTACCCGGGTTGTCCTAACATAGTATGACAGACTGGGTGGCTTAAACAGCAGACTTTTATTCCCTAACAGTTCTGGAGCTAATGAATTTGGTTTCTGATGAGGGGCCTCTTTGGGCTTGCAGATGGCTGCCTTCTTGGTGGGTGCTCTCCCGTCCTCTCCCCTGTGCATGCTTGGAGAAAGAGAGCTCTGGTGTGTCTTCTTATAATACAACATCCCTACCAGATCAGGGTCCACCCTCAAATATGGTCCTATCAGGGCCCAACCTCCAACTACATGGAGGTGAGGTCTTCAATGTGTGAATTTGGGAGGAGGATATAATTCAGTCCCTACAACCAAAGATATATTTCAATTTTGTCTTTATAAAGGTACTTATATTGAACAATATAATGCCTTTCCCCCATACTCATTTTACATTTTGCACAATTTGTTCTTGCAGTCCCTTTGAGGGTATTCTGTAGCCCTAAGTTTTGTGGCAGGAGCCTGTGCTTACTGGTTTTGGGGAGTGGCTACAGAGGTCTGATCTTTAAGGTCGCTTGCCACTTAATTTTACTCCACAATCACTCTCTTAGTCCCAAATGCCTTTTTTAGTGTAGTTTCTAAGCAGGGTTCAACATTTAGTACCTTAACAAAAGTGAAATTTTAGTTTCCTAATAGACCTTCAAACATAATTCTAAAATGCATGAGTTTGTTGAGGGAATTGATTACAGAACTTTATTCAAAATCAGTTATACTATCAAGGGATGTTCTTAATTTTGTAAAACCTCTAATCCTGACAATGAACATTATTTTTTAATTAAATCAGAAAAAAAAACCCAAAAAGTATGGATATTACTGAGTCTAATTCTCATTATGAAACATTTTCATAGTAAGAGATCCTAGTTGGGATGCAGGTCACACTTGAATACCATTAAGCTCACCACATCCAACATTTCTGGGGCTGCTGTGTTTGCCCAGAACCGGTGTTTTCACCAGTTGTCACCTTATTGAGGATAACTCAGCTTTGAAGAGGAAAAGGGCATGGTTTGGAAGGGTACATTACTTTCTAGGTATATGACACCCTCATTTTTCAGTTGACATGGTACAGCTGCAGTTAGTAAGAATTTATTGTGTTCATAATGAGAACATTCCAAGTACACCCTTACCGTGCCTGCCCCTAAATCAGGCCCTCTCTGAGGGATACCAGATGCCTAAACTTAAAATCTGTCTGTAGACCCATCATGATCAGAATGTTATGGGAGATCAAATTGCCGGATACCAGATTTGAGGGTGCCTTAAACAAATTGTGACATTTTCATGGGATAAAAATGTTTATCATACTCAAAATACTATAGATATGAGCTGGGGATATAACTCAGTTGGTAGAGTGCCTGCCTTGCATGCACAAGGCCCTGGGTTCAATCCCCAGCACCACAAAACAAAACAAAACAAAAAAAATACTATAGATACATTTGTACTATAAATAAAAGGATGTTGAAAATCTTATCTCCCTGCCCCCAACACTTTCCCTTTGCACCATAATGCGCTATTCTATGTTGGAGTGGATTTTATATTTAAGGGGCATTTGAACTTGCTGGGTAGCGGATACTGTTATTCTGAAACAGAGCACACAATCCCTTAAACAACCCAATTTGGGCAAAATTTTCCTTACAAGAAGAAAAGTCCTGAAGCAAATGTACCTAGCCACTGAGATGACCTATACTCTATTTGCATGAAGGATTTGCTTTTCATTTCATTCTTTGGTGAGAAAAAGTTGTAAGCCATACGCAAAAAAATGATTCCTCCTGTGTTGAGGTACTGTGTGCTCTGAAAGGAAGTGGGCGGTTAATGGAAGTCTTAACGCTTCTCTGCTTTGCTGGTATCTCTGCTTTCAGAACACAGTCACTCCTTCCACAGATGATACTCTGATCTCTTTTTTGCCTCTCGCCCATATGTTTGAGAGAGTTGTAGAGGTAGGCATTTGTTTTTGTTTAGCCTGCATGCATGTTTGTTTTGTGTTCTGCTAAGTTGTTGTGTTTTACAGAAAGTACTTGCCTTGAATGCCAGTGACACACACATTTCGTTTTTACCACTTGCACACATGTATGAGCGCCTCATGGAGGTAAGTATGACGGGCAGGTTGCCGTCCTCCAGATAAGCCTTTTGCTCAGCCCCATCTTAGAAGTGGCGCAAATTATTGGAAACGGGTGTTAAGTTCTTTTTCTGCGTCTGACCTAAATACCTGAATCCTAATCCTTCATTTTAAAATTAGAAAATCAAGCTTTTAAAAGAAACTAAATATGGACGCGATTCCAGGAAGAGTAATATAAAAGGAGGATTTTTATTCATTCAATCTGACAGTCTCTCTGAAGGCTTCTGTTTTTGAAAGTCCATTTTTGATGGCGCCTGTTTCTGATGTACAAGTTGACTTAAGACCAACTTCTCGGCAATACTAGAAAAGCAGGATGATGTTTAACCAACCTTTGCCTGAACTCCCTGWATATAGCAGTGCAATTAATTTTAAAACTAACCAAGAGCTATCTTTTTTTYCCCTTCTTGGACAATTTTGGATTTTATAAGAAAAACAGTGGGTACCATTTTTCATTAACTGAATATTCATTGAACACCAGCTGTTTGTCAGGCACTGTGCTAGGTGTTGGGGACAGTTGACTCATAGAGAGTTGGCACTTTGGTTGACTGCAGCTCCTAGGAGTTACTGACCCCCTAAAGAACGAAGGATCACCAGATCCTGTCATGCATTTGTTACTCCACGTCTTGCACACCTCGGGATCTCATGAGTTATAAAGTGATCTCAGATCAGTTGCCAGTGCATTGTGTGACCCTAAATTTAGCTTCAGAGGCTGTGCTTAGGAGGCAGGCCTGAGCTTTTAATTTTTTGTCAGTGAACTGTGATGTACCTGTCCAGTGGTTTAAGCCAGAGAGTGATGGCACTTCCATTGCACCATCTTTTGAATCTCTTTTTCTTTTTTAAACTTAAAATAGGCAGACTCTCTGGCTTCCAGTGCATCTGGCTTCCAGTGCAGTTTGAATGAGGCAGAGGGAAAAAAATCATGCCGTACACTGTAGCAGAATGACGAGCCACTCTGGCATGAGATTAGATATCCTGGCGTGTCAACTTCATATGCCGTGTGTTTGCAGAAATTTTGGGTTATATTCAAATAAAAGAAAATGAGATTTTAATCAGCCTGAACTGGAGATGGGTGAAGTTTTTGAGAATAAAAAGCCCTGAAGTTTCTGGAAGACTAAAAATATTTGGAGTATATAATACCATGTAGTTCACTCAACAGCTATTGATCCWTAAGCCAAGATAGAATCTCTGTGCTCGTCATTTAAAACAACAGATCCTAGTTTCCTACTCACTCCTGTATCTTTGGGACAATCAAGAGAAATATACCGTACTTTGGTGGTGTTTGTACAATTAACAGTAAATGTGAAAGCACTTTTTAAGAAGCTGCCTATATTTAGAAGCTTTTAAGATTTCTGGAAACTGACTTGAAACACTAACRCCGGTGTCTCGTGCGTTGCCTTCTGTGCGCTGTGTGGCTCCTGCTGCAGCCGTAAAGCCCGCGTTGTTTCTGTTCACTCCACAGTGTGTAATGCTGTGCCATGGAGCTAAAATAGGATTTTTCCAAGGAGACATCAGGCTACTTATGGACGACCTCAAGGTGCTTCAGCCCACTATCTTCCCTGTGGTTCCGAGACTGCTGAACCGGATGTTTGACCGAGTAAGTTCCCAGCAGCAAGTATGAAGGCTGGGAGGCTGGGCTCGGAGTCAGAGGCTGGGGCCGAACTCGGGCTCAGCTCCCTACTGTCTCTGTGACAGTGAACAGTCCTTTTACTCCTGTTTACTCCTCTGTAATATTAGAGTCCGTTCACCTCGTGGAGCTGATAGTAGGAGTAGGAGAGAACACACAAGCGGATTCGAGAAGGATGCAGGCGGGTGGCGGGAGGCCCTTTGATTTTTTACAGTCATGCCGCTGAGCATCTCATGCATGAAATAGACCGTTCCCTCTTTTCCCTTTTGTCTGCCTTACAAAATTGCTAACTGGATCACACAAAAATAACAACTATGAAAGCTTAACCCCCCATGCACGAATAAAGCATGACTTATGTAATTCCATTGGGAGAAGTGATAGAACTGAGGCAGGGGCAGAGGGGATGCCAGCCCTCTGTGGCAGCCGCACCGCTGGGCAACAGCAGTGGCTGCCAGAGTAAGTTGTAACTGGGCAGCTTTAATAGTATTTATGAGGCAGGGCTTTTCCTRTCTCTAAGGATCTTCTCTTTTTCTAAATCATTCTTGTAAAAAAAAATTTTAAACAGCTTTATTGAGACATAATTCCACTCCCTTACAGTGCATCCATTTAAAGTCTGCAACTCAAAGACTTCCACGAAAGTTCTACAACCAGCCAATTTAGAACACTTACATCACCTTGAAAAGAAAYTCTTGACTCTTTAGTTGTCATCTGCCACCTCTTACCCCCATCAACCCCTAAGCAACCACTAATCTGCCTTCTAAATCTATAGCTTTCTCAGTTCTGGACYTTCAAATGAATTTAGAGTCATGCAGTATGTATTCTTTTGTGAATGGCTTCGTTCATTGGTGGGTTTTTGAGGTTCATTGAAGTGGCACATATTCATACATCATTCCTTTTAGTGGCCAAGTAATATTCTATTGTATGGATATAAACATTTTATTTAGCTGTTCCTTCATCAGTGGTCACTTGAGTCATTTCCAGTTTGGGGCTGTTATGAATAATGCTGCTGTGAACATTRGTGTGCGCATTTCTGTGTCGGTGTGTTTTCATTTCTCCTGGGTCTGTACACCTAGAAGCATAGTTGCTGGGTCATAGGATAACTCTGTTCAACTGTCGGAGGAACTGCTGGATGGTTTTCTTCCCTCTTTCCTCCGTTCTTTGTTACATTAGTGGGGATTGAACCCAGGGCCTCATGCATACTAGGCAAGTGCTGTACCACTGAGCTACATCCCCAGCCCTGCCAGATGGTTTTCCAAAGCAGCTGCATTGTTTCTATCCCAACCAGCAGTGCGAGGGTTCCAATTTCCCCACATCCTCGCCAGCACTTGTTATTATGACTTTTTTTATTCACGTCATCCCATAGTTATGAAAACCTTCTTATTTCTTGCTTCATTAGATTTTTGCACAAGCAAACACCACACTGAAGCGATGGCTGTTGGACTTTGCCTCCAAGAGAAAAGAAGCAGAACTTCGCAGCGGCATCATTAGAAACAATAGCCTGTGGGATAAACTCATCTTCCACAAAATACAGGTAACAAACAGACTTAGCTGTGGTTTCTCATGTAAACTCATTTGGGTTTCAAAATTTCTATGAGGGCTATTTTCTTAAAAGATATGAAGGCAAGGGAGAGAATGGTATGGTTTTATTAATTCTTTTTTTTTTTTTTTTTTGATACCAGGGATTGAACTCAGGGGCACTCAACCACTGAGCCACATCCCCAGCCCTATTTTGTATTTTATTTAGAGACGGGGTCTCACTGAGTTGCTAAATACCTCGCTTTTGCTGAGGCTGGCTTTGAACTTGCGAGTCTCCTATCTCAGCCTCCCCAGCTCCTGGGATTACAGGTGTGCTCCACCATGCCCAGTTGGTTTTATTAATTCTGATACATGTCTAAAGGTTAAGGGCAAAGTCATGAAGTAAACCATCTCAGTGTCCGGGGTGCATCTAGACAATATTGTAGTTAACTAGTGAAAAAAGATTCTTTTTGAGTCTCCATTTTGATTTGACCAAGTATGCCATTCTTGAGGTAATTATTTTTAAGCTTGAGTGATGAAGAATGTGCAGTGACATTATGTCCCTCAGTAGTGTCCAAACTGGTAGTTTCCATAAATCTGCCACCATCTTGTTTTAATTCCTTAAAGTACCTGCAAGGAGTGGCTTAGTTTCATACTTGTTGGGAATGAATGGGTTAATTCTGGGCAGAAACCAACAGGATTCCTGTGTGAACACCTGTGGGTTCTGTGTTCCCAGGGGGAGTCCCATCCAGTGCCACCTGCAGAGGAACTGGTAGGTTAGGGCACAGGGTCCCAGGCTGGTATCTCTGATGGAGGAGCCCACTGACTTCCAAATATGTAACCCTCACCTCCTTCTTCTCTCTCCACTTTGCAAGTCGAGCCTGGGCGGGAAAGTCCGGTTGATGGTCACAGGAGCCGCACCCGTGTCCGCCACCGTGCTGACATTTCTGAGAGCAGCCCTCGGCTGCCAGGTGAGGCCCTCCATGTCGCTGGATCATCCCAGTCTTTGTATAGCACCAAGTCCTCTTCCTTACCAAAAGTCAATTTGTTTCTCTTTGTGTGTTGTCAATTTTTAAAAATGGACAAAAAATTATATTTTTATGCTGTAAGACATGATGTTTTGATATATGACTACATTGTGTAATGGCTACATCAAGCAAATTAACATACATGTCACCTACTATACCCTTTTACATGTGGAGAGAACACTTAGAATCCACTTTCTTGGCGATTCTGGAGTACACAACATATTGTTATTAACTAGTGTCACCTTGCTGGCAGTAGGTCGCGTGAACTTTCTCCTCTTATCTGAAAGTTTCTGTCCTTTGACCAGTGTCTTCCCAGTCCTCCCCRCCCTCCACTTTGCGTCTGTATATTATTTTTGTTTGGAAGATATATTATTACTAGATTGTTTGGAAAAATAAGTGTATGTTGTAGTTGTGTGTGTATACATATACATACCAAACATACATATATACACAAACATACATATATACATATGCATATATATATATATATATATAATTTTTTTTTTTTTTTTTACCCTAGGCAGGGAATATGGATGGGCTGTGTAATTTTTTCTAGGATAGGACTCAGCCATACCTTCAGAGTCAGGCAAGCAGATATAGGAACACACCTTAAGAGAGAAACCTGCCTGCAAACCATGCAGAGAACCTGTTTTAAAGGGGGAAGGCAGGGGAATGTAGTTAACGATAGGACATGTGCAGGTCACACGTATGAAGTGACGAAGTGAGAGTGCTCCYAGGTGAGGAGTGACCAGTCACAAGGAGGTCTCCTTTGCTTGTCCTCATGGTCGCCGGATGACGGCTGGTGTTTGGCATGCAGGGGAGGGGGAGATGTTTGGGGGCACGTTGTGCTCCTGGGTGAAGTTCACTTCACAATCAGCCATTACTCAGGAACTAGTGGAACTGGATTACTTGTGCACTTCCTGCAAAGGCTGACTGTSCCCCCGCTAATAACGTCTGCTCTCTTGGTGACCCAGTTCTACGAAGGCTATGGACAGACCGAGTGCACGGCCGGCTGCTCTCTCAGTGTGCCTGGAGACTGGACAGCAGGTAGGATTGACGGAGGGCCATTTTCAGAATCTTATTCAAATGGGGTTATTGAAATGTTGGAATTGGGTTAATCATTGATCAGTTCATTAACCAACTTAAACAAGTGTTAAGCCTCAGGTCATTCAGCCTTGAGGCAGACAGTCTTATAATTCAGGCGGCCACGTGGAAATGCCCTTCTGCTCCTGTGGCCAAGTGTGGTAGCATTTTGGGAATCTGACTGTAATGCCAGGTGGCAGTAAGTCTCTGTCTGGATCCTACAGGCTACATCTGAGAGAGGATGTCTGGCCCCGTAGGGCTTGCAGGTAGCAATTAGGGTCTCATCATTTGCTGGTAATTTTAATCCACACGTATTTACACCATGTTCTATGCTATGTATTGGGACCCTAGATAGGAATAAACCCAAGTTCTTTTTCTCAAAAGGGAAAAAGGGGAGGACAAATACACAAATAATTGACTGAGCACCTGACATGGATAAGCTTTCTTGATGGATGCTTAAGATCGACATTATGTGAGGGTAATCCCAATAACATCCCTGTGAGGTTGGTACCATCTCCTGTGAGAGGAAATTGTCGATTGTTGCTTAAATAGCACGTAAATAATGGAGAACAATTTACACAGCATTATCTCTTGGAACCAGGATTCCAGCCTGAGTCTGACTGCACATATTCTGTGCTTTCCTCTATGCCATGTTGGTAGTTTATTCTACACTGCAATTAATAAACTTCCCAGATTTATTTGGTGTTTTCTACCTATCAGCACTACCTGGTAACACAGATTCTAGCACTAAATAATAACATACTTCTACTGGAATGAATGCTGATAGTCTATGAATCTTCTATATGATGTTTGTCTCATTTTTAACCTCAGGTTCCTTAACAGCCAAAGAATTTGGCATAGTGATCTCTAGATGTTAAAATTGTTAAGACATGGGCATTGTTTGCAACGCTCTTTAAATGCATCTGATATCTGTCATTTTTGTTTTTGGAAAAGACAACCCAATCCGACACCCTTTGACAAGAGAGGTAAATTGACAGTGGAAATAAGCTCTGTCCTGTCTGAATAAACTTAAAAGTGTAGAAAATGTTTGTCCGTACTTAAGGAGATAAAGACAGTATTGGTCAGAATCAGATGGTGCATGACAGAATAATCAAGGTTCGCCAGAGCTGTGTATATGCTCTCAGAACAGGGATATGAAGTTTGAGGGCTGGGCGAATAATGAGTGTGGTCAGTCAGATCATAGAAACCAGGTAAAAAAAAAAAAAAGTTTTAGCTAGCATGCTTCCAGATATTTGTGCTAACTAAATCAGTTGCTATTATTATTTATATTTTGAAAAATAATTCAGAGCCTCAAATTTGGGTAAGGTCCAGAGGAAATTTTTGAATATTTTCATCTGTCTTCTAGGAAGAAGCCTTCTTAAATTATCTTACCAGGGAGAGAATGGCTCTAATTGCAGAAGCCAGCAGTTCGTAGCAGCTTTATGATGACTGAGGCTTGTTGGTTATAAAAATGCTTTGTCCTGAGGATATTAGCTGTAGCCTMGGGAATGATCGTTCTCTTATTTAATTCATGCACAGGCCATGTCGGTGCCCCCATGCCTTGCAATTTGATAAAACTTGTTGATGTGGAAGAAATGAACTACTTGGCTGCCAAGGGTGAGGGTGAGGTGAGTGAGATCCCGTTGGTCACTGACCCGCATGGCCGTCTCCCATAATAGCTGGCCACTCTGAGGGCAGCGCCTGTTCCCAGCACGGCTCAATAAAGCTGTTGAGCTCAACTGTTTTGGTGATCTTTAGAGTCCAACAGGGTTCTTATTGAAGGTACATTTGTGTTTCACTCCCAAGGGGTCAGAAGACAGACGCTAATGCCTGCCTCCTGCCAGACACGCAGGGATTTGGGCTCCAGAGCGATGCAGAAGCTCCAGTGGCCCAAGTCCTCAGGGCACATCTTCTGTTTGCTGATTGCCCTGGATACCTGTTAGGGAGCCACTGTACTGGGTGATTACATCCTCTAGGGGGCTTCCAGCAGCTTTGTGTTGGAACCTAGAGCAGCAAGCATTCGCCCTGTAATTTGATGGCAGCGGAGGTAACAAAGGGACGCAGGGACCTTGGAGGTGCCTCCAGGATCTTGATGGTTTCTGGTAACTCCCTCTGGATCCTGAAATTCAGGGCTTCCTAGTTAAAAGTGGGGACACACCCATACCCCTGTAGTTGGGAGAAGCCCCAATACATGCTATTAACAGATTCTTTTTTTTTTTTTAAGGTGTGTGTGAAAGGGCCAAATGTATTTAAGGGCTACTTGAAGGACCCAGYAAAAACGGCCGAAGCTTTGGATAAGGATGGCTGGCTGCACACAGGAGACATTGGAAAGTGGCTGCCAGTAAGTTGTCAGCTCTTCTTCTCACACACAGTTTTGTTCCCTACGGGGGAAAGAATATCCACCAGCTGCACAGCTGCCATGAAGCAGTGACACCCTCCATACTCTGTTTCCCTTTTCACTCGGTGAATGGTACGTTGTAGACAGGCTCATACTCTGACCATAATTGTTTAGGAATTTGACTTTAACGCTAGCAAATGTGTTTTGTTTGGAGGCTTAACATTAAATTCTGGTGGCTGCTTCCCACTTGAAATCCAACAAGAATGGCATTTTAAACTATAAGTGCTGCGCCTTGATAGTGGAAATTCCCACAGTTACTTTGTGGCAGGCAGTCAACTGACACTTCCCAAAGAGCCAGGAGTAACCCGGTCTCCCCCAGGGATGATGAAGGATCTGGAATTCTGCCTTAGTGTAGTAAACATTTCTTGAGCCCTTACTTTGTGCAGAGCATGGTGGAAAGATAAGTCTGTGCCTTGCTCTCACAGAACTTGACTTGTGGGCTAGGGATGTGGCTCAGTGATAAAGCGCCTGGCATGCATGAGGCCCTGGGTTCAAATCCCCAGGCACCAAAAAAAGAACTTGACTCATGGCCAGTCAAAAATGTATGTGCTTGTGATACGTATACACAATGGAATATTACTCACCCATAAAGAAAAATGAAATTATGGCATTTGCCTGTAAATGAATGAAACTGGRAACTATCATACTAAGTGAAATAAGCCAATCCCTAAAAACCTAAGGCCTAATGTTCTCTCTGATGTGTAGTTACTGACTCAACAGTAGGTGGTGGGGATTCACTGGATTGGACAGGGAGGATTGGGGGATGGGAAGGGAACAGACAGTAGAATGAATTGGACATAATTTTCCTGTGTTCGTATATGAATACCACGAGTGTAACTCATATCATGTCAACCCACAAGAATAGATGTTATACTCTGTGTATGTATTATATGTCAAAATACATTCTACTGTCATTGCATAAGGAAAAAGAACAAATTTTTTTAAAAAAAGAAATATAAGTGCCTAATTCAGGTAGGAGGCCAGATGAACGTGCTGAAATAAAGGGAGCAATTAAAACACTCCTAGTGGGCTGACAGGTCACTGTGCCGGGTGGAGAAACAGTGTGAGCATGGTCTCTGGAGTCCCTTTTCTATATCTGTACCTGGCCAAATGGCAAGTTGATAAAACTCTCTAAACCTTAGTCTCCCCTSTCTGTAAAATGGGATGATGTCTGGCCTCTCTGAGATGATTTTAGGGTGAAAGGATAGTGCACATGAAATGCCTTGCATTGTGTTGTGATTGATGGGTGCAAACCAGGTCAGGGACCCACTCATAGCCCCTTCCTCTCTGGTAAACAGAATGGCACACTGAAGATTATTGACAGGAAAAAACACATATTTAAACTGGCACAAGGAGAATACATAGCACCTGAGAAGATTGAAAATGTTTACCTGCGAAGTGAACCTGTTGCTCAGGTGTTTGTCCATGGAGAAAGCTTACAGG